GAGCTCCAGGAGCWTTTGGACAGCGCTGCCAGGGATGCYCAGGGTGGGATTGYTGGGGGGTCTGGGCAGGGCTGGGGTGGCACTGGATGATCCTGGGGGTCCCTTCCAACTCAGGATGTTCCCTGATTTTCCAGTCTCACACACATAGGTCAAGGTCAGCTCTGTCCCCAGTGAYTCAGGTGTGTCCCTGTCCTGAGAGCACCTGGTTGGGGCTGTTCAGTCAGTGCTGGGKTGAGTAGCACGGGGATTCTGGAGTCAGCAAGGAAAACAGAGCGAGCTGCCCTCACCTCAACGGGCTCCTTTCAACTGCCCAGTCTGGGATGAACTCTCAGGTACCTGTTAAGACCTTCATTAGCACATGCCTGTGAAAATGGCTCAGCTGGATGTAATTTAGATCTCTGCTGGTTAAGTCCCAGCTCCTTTTAGCAAACCTATCACAGGAGATCTAGTTTAATCTTTTTTTCCCCCTTAAAAATCTTATTTGYCTTTTGAGGAGAAACAAGCAGGGGCAGGGCTGTAGGCAGGGCTCATGCTGCAGAGAGCTGAAAGATGTGATAAAAGAAAGAATGGAAGAATATGATCTTTTTTTCCTCCCTGACAGAGYCCCTGACATAACTGATTCCTGAGGATTTGGGATACAAAGAAGAATGGGGGATTACAGCAATCAGGCTCACTTCTCATTGTCGTAGTAAAGCTTCCCGATAGCCCAGGCGACGATGATGGGAAAGGGAATACCTGCAGGGAACACACAGGTGAGTCTCAGGGGTGCAACAGGGCTTTCTCMCACACAAACCACCCAGCAAGGTGATGCGTCCAGTCCATGCAAACCCCATCCTCCTGCTCCTGGCACCCTTCCACAGCTCTTTGTCCACGAGAAGAGCTGGAGCAGGGGATGGAGGGGGAACCCTGGGAGCTGCTGGGAGAGTGGAAGCCTGGCACTCACACCAGCCGATGCAGATGAACATCCACTTGCGCAGCTTGTCCGTGGAGTAGGTGAGCACGATGGCCGTGTGCAGGTAGCAGCCCTCGCCGAACATCCAGAAAAAATTGGTGACATGGAAGTAATTGTAGGCAGCAGTGACCAAGCGGCACCAAACCTGCCAGGAGATGGGCAGCCTGTCCAGCKCTGTCACCGTGGTGAAACCAACACACAGAGCAGCACAGACCCTGGCAGAGCACTCAAACCCGTGCTTCCTATACAGCTGGGCTGTGCTCCAGACACCAGCCAGCCCTATTTACCCCCTGAAATTGTTAATGTAGCCACATCTTACTGGCTTCAAACTGAAAGAGAGTAGGTTTAGGGAAGAAATTCTTCCTTGTGAGGGGGTGAGGCTCTGGCACAGGATGCCCAGAAGAGCTGTGGCTGCCTCATCCCTGGAAGTGTCCAAGGCCAGGTTGGACAGGGTTTGGAGCACCCTGGGATAGTGAAGGTGTYCCTGCCCATGGCAGGGAGGTTGGAATTAAATGAYCCTAAGGCYCATTTCAGACCCAAACCACTTTGTGGTTCTATGATCTGCAAGGTCCCCATAGCCCCCACTGTTCAGGACTGGGCTCAGCCCAGCAGAGCTGCACCTACCACGTTGCTCTCGTGCACCTCTGGGCTCATGGTGAGCTGCACCACGAACCATGTGGCATTGCGTAGGATGAAGGCTGTGATCAGGTTCCAGTGGATGATGTTCCTCAGGCACCGGATGCTCCTGGAGAGGGGTGGAACAAGGCACCATCAGAGCAGGGGGACTGTGGAGATGAGTGTCTCTGTTGGGACCCCAAGGGTGACCTGCTAGGACCACACCCTGGGTGAGATGGGCACGGCAGGAGGTGGAAGGCACCAAGGAGGACCCTCTGCRTCCATAATCAGGTGCTTTAAAAAAGCAGCAGAAGAAAAACAACCCTGAGACGGGCAGGATCCCTCCAGCCTGGAGAGCAGTGACTGTGGGGCAGGAAATGGCAAAGTACAGGGGCTGGGTCYGTTTCTGCCTGAGATGACCTCGCAGAGACATCTGGGCAGCAGGTTGGTCACTCACCGCAGGCGCATGAAGAGGACAAAGGCCACRAGGAGGGCCCCCAGCGAGACGCAGTGGCCCAGGTAGTTGATGATAACGGCGATGTGGTAGTGCAGCTTGCTCTTCTTCTAGGGGGGGAACGGGCAGGGCRTCAGCAGCAGCTCTGGKRCTAGCACAAAGCCAACTCTGGCAGSTGCGCCACAAATTCTGGTCCCTTTTTCAGGGAGCAATTGGAACCCACCCTGGGACAGGACAGTGGGAATGGAGGGAGATGGGGCTGATGTGAGAAGGAGAGGCACCATCCCACTTGCACCAGGGCAGCTCACAGGACAGCTCAGTGCTGGGACATCCCAACCCATCCCCAAACCTCTGGGCAAATCCTGCTGGAATTCAGCTGAACTCACTGGAATTTTAGGTCTCAGTTCATCCCCCATTGCCCTGGGGGCAGCTGAGAGGCTGAGATGAATTTGGGCAGAGGGAAGGTGTGAGTGATAATTGAATTAATTGATCACTCCTGTTGTTAGGCACTCACCCAACCTGTGAATTAGCAATTAAGTGAGTGAGAAAACCATTCCTGGCAAGAGATATCAGCATCTTAAATACCAGAGGTGATATCAACTGCAAATGAAATATTTCTTCTCCTTTGCTTCTAGGGGTGGCTCAACCTGCTCAGGGGCTTGTAATTCTTGAACCCCATTTTTTTATCTCCTTCAGCTCCCTAAGTATCTCCTTTATTTCMCTGCCAGCAGGCAGCAGGGAAGGAYRGGGTTTTCACTGAGTGTTGTGTCAGGAGGGAGYTGCAGCAGAGTGACAGGGCTGATCTGTACCCAGAGGCCCTGGGGATGTCACACTGCCGATCCTCTTGGATTTTWAATGGGGATGGAAACAGGCGTGGCTTTATTTCTGATGGGAAATAAAAATGCAAATCAGGAAGGGGGTCTGTAATTTCGACATGCAGCTTTATCACTGCACGCTCAGCCCTCAGCTGCCACGGGCTGCTCCTGCCCTGGGTACTGCTGCCTTTCAAAACCCTATTATCTGCCCTTCAGCCCCTGCCAAGAGCACGGGAGCTCCCAAGCTCCTACCTCTTCGCTGAGGATCTCCTGGCACTGGGAGTAGTTGACACGTGCAGCCCAGCTCCCGTTAGCTAGGCATTCCCTGTACCCATTATCTGAAAGAGAGAATGCCCACCCAAGGGTTAACAGAGCTAGGCATTCCCTGTACCCATTATCTGAAAGAGAGAATGCCCACCCAGGGGTTAACAGAGCTAGGCATTCCCTGTACCCATTATCTGAAAGAGAGAATGCCCACCCARGGGTTAACAGAGCTAGGCATTCCCTGTACCCATTATCTGAAAGAGAGAATGCCCACCCAAGGGTTAACAGAGCACGGATGGGCACGGGCATATGACCTGGCTGTCACTGATGCAGGACACTAGCACCAGGCCAGCAACATCTTCTGCTTCCAAGGYGGCTCAGTGGCTGCCTTGGTCACAATCGCAGAGCCAAAATCCTTGGAATATTTCAAATGTGCTCAGGAGCTTTGGGTCGGCATCAGCTCTGCTCTCAACACCGGGGCCCTGCACCTCCCCACAGCACACAGGGATGCAGTGGAAGCAGCACCAGTTAGACGCTTCTTCCCTTTCTCTCTGCTGTTTGCTTGGGTGATCATGTACCATCCCAGGAYGTCTGCTGAGATGGCAGCATGAAGTTTTACTTCTCTTTCTCAATTAGGAGCTTTTTTTGCCTTCCAGCGTGGACAGTGGGTGGCATGGCTAATTGGGAAGGAATGGCCACCRTGCTCCAGAGGGTCTGTGAGGAGTGTCAGCTGTGGGGTGGAAGACAGTGAGCTTTGTCGGGGTGATGGGGTGAGAAGGGCTCGGAGACAGGCTCACGTCAGGATTAATGCAGAGAAACTCCTGCAGCAGCACAGGAGGCACTGTAAAGCAGGAGCTGTGTCTCTGTCATCCTCCACAGCTTCAAGAATATGCAGGATGGAAAAATTATGTTTTTTGTGGGAAGCAAGGTGTTTATTCCATCAAAAACAGCACTTGGGTGGTCAGAAACTCCACCTTGTGCTAGGAATGGCTTTGGACACTTTTGTTTCTATGTCGCTTCTCCTCTGCTCCCATCATGTCACTGGCAGTGACAGTCCAGCTACCTATGCCAGGAGGGGACAAGGTTCAAGGTSCCCCAGTCCTTGTTCAGACCCCTGTGCCACCTCCAAAGGCAGGGCAGGATGGCTCCTCTGCCTTTGTCCCCAAGATGGGGACATCAGCCCTTTCCTCCTCCCAGGAGGATCTGCTTATGAAGCTGCTGCTCTGGGGGAACTGGGCCCCGAGGCACTGTTTTCTGTCTGGTTGCTGAGCTTTGTTGCCAGCACTTGTCACTTGTCCCGCCTGTCCCAGCAGCACTGTCCCCTTACTGGTGGTGTTGTAGCGCACGCCRTAGAAGAACTCGGGGCAGGGCCGGGCCACCAGCTGTCCCCCTGCGCTCCGTGGCCAGCACGTGCCGATCAGATCCACCGAGGCATTGCACTGGGGACCTGCAGGGACRGAGGGCACGAGTTAGCAGAGGCCTGCGGGCTACCATGAACAGCTTCCAGGCTGCTGAAAGTCAGGGTCTGCCTGGAGAGCTGATGGGTCACCGCAAGCTCAGTGCCCCTCATGGCAGACACCAAATGGGGCTGTGCAGAGTCCCAAGGGCTGGTTGAGCCATCCTGGTCATGACCATTACTCTGCTCCTGTCTAAACTACTGGGCTAAGCCCAGTTCTGGTAAAAGCCTGGTTTTAAACCTGGCTTCCAAGTCCACTTGGGGATCCCTGGCTCTGGTCTGCCAGCCCTAGCCCTTCCTTCAGCCATGACTTTGGCATCCAGCCCCACAACAGGCAATAAGACAGACTTTCTCTTCCTCAGTGCTGTGTCCAGTCTGGTTCTGAGCCCCTCCAAAAATCTCACCCCTCCTGGCTGCAAAGTCTCCTTCCCAGCCATTCCTGTTGGTCTCTTCCAGTCTTTCCCAGGTAGAAAACTCCAAAGTTGCTGCTGCTCTTTCAGATTTCAAGGACTCGTGTGTTTTTCCCAGCTACACAAGTGTGCTAACGTAGGCATTAGGTAGGCCAGATTGCAGGMTTTTTTCAGTATAATTTGTGCATATTTAGAACGACATGTACTGTAGCTAAATATGTCCCTGCTCCATCTCACAGTGAGGTGGGAAGAACAATGGCTGCAATATCCACATACTACAGTCCAAGACAAGCAGCAGATGCATGAGCAGGAGGTGCTGGAAGGGGCAGAGAGCAGTCCAAACCACTCCAAGGTACCAGAGATGTTTGTTCTGCTGACACAGAGACAGAAATTGACACTTYCTAAGACAAAACACCCCATTTCACAGCTCCTTGGGTGCAAGAACACAGTGTTTCCTCTCCCCTCAGATTCGTGGTTGTTATTTGACTGCCTTTCCCAAAAATTCCTCTGCTTAGAGCTGGCTAAAGAGTGACCAAAGGAGAAAAAAAGCAAAATATTGTTACTAGGATGATGAAGCTTTTTATGGAGCAATATTTTTTTCATTGATTATCTGAAAAATTGGCTCCTTGTTATTTTGGGATGTTCTCAGAGCAAATTTTCAGGGCTTTTTGTGTCTTCTTCAAACATCTTAGCAAGAGAAAACAGCTTCCAAGCATGTGAGCTGGGGAAGCATCAGAGCATGGTAAGTGTTACCTTCTGCATCCCATAGCTTGTAGGGAGAAATTAATTTTAACAATGACCTTTGCTTTTAGCTTTGCTAATGCGTAGGGTTGCTGTGGCAACCTTCCCTTTAAGTTAACTGTTTTAAACCTGAATTTTGCAGGAAACAAGGTGCCTTTAATCACRTGTGTGTTTGTGCCTTCCTGCATCCATTTGAATTTATTGATCTCCTTCGTTGTTTTGACCCAAATTTGACAGAGAAATAGAAGGTCACAATTAAAAATTTTATGATAACATTCATCCATRTAAATAAAAACCAAGCAGTAATTACTTGAACTAAGGACAAAAYTAAATTGCAAGTGCTCTCCCTGTTAGCTACCCGGGTGAGAAGCTGCGTGAATGTCTRCAACAGGAAAAGCTTCACTTGGAACAACGCAGCACAGGAAAATGTGCACYGTGCTAATGCCCACGGCAGCTCATGCAGCTGGGACTGGAGGGGCTGAGCACAAACTCCAATTTCTCTGCATCCTCTTGTGCCTCAGTTTCCCTCCTGCATTCCAGGGGCTGTGCTGRGGGATGGGCAGAGATTGCTCAGGGAGGACTAACAGGGAGAGTGAGTTAAAAGTCAGCAGGGTCAGAGTGCAACAAYGATGATACTCTACACCAGTAAAACAAACCCACAGCAGTGCCATTAATAATCAGACCCAGGAGAGATTTGTGGAAATGATGTGGCCAGGCAGGGGTGCATCATTCTGTGATAGGTCTGCTCAAGGCTGCATTTAATTTCTGCCCCTTTCTCCAAGGCACTGGCTGTGATGCTGTTTGGCACTACTGGTGGAGCACAAAGCCATCCCACCAGACACCAAACCCAGTTTGTCCCACCACAGGGAATCACAGCAGCATCATCAGGATTCAGTGCTCATCCCCTGGGTCAGGGTGCTGATATGGGGTGGCATTTGGGTCTGGGACTGCAGCTGGGTGAGCAGAGGCTCAGCCAGGCTGTCAGATGCTCCTGGACATCAACCTGTGCTTCACACCCATGCTGCCACCAGCAGCATTTGGTGCTCTTTTCCACCATATTTTAATCTAGTGAGTGGCTGTAATGTTTTTCCCAGGCTCACACTGAGAGAGGCTTGATGAGAAAAGCTGCAGAAAACAGATGCTGCTCTTACTGGTCTCTCCAGCATACAGAAGAAAAAACCCCTTCTGATGGGGAAGGGATAAGTAAAAGGGTGAAGACAAAACGTTCTGTGAGGGCTCCAACAACCCCTTTGCCCAGCACAACCCTGTGTTCCAGCTCCTCCCCAGTGGCACCTGGCCCCCAGCATTTAGAGCACTGTTGAGCATGGAAATGATTTGAATCAGTGCTAAACGCTTCCCTGCCTGCTCAGCRGCCCATCCATGTTTGCAGGGGAATTATTCTCCAGGTTCTGCACATGTGCTCTGGTTTCTCAGCTCCCTTGGCTGCATGGCTTTGGTGTTTGCAGATCTGCACCAAGAAAGGTCAGTGAATTTCCTACCTGCACTCAATCCCCCTGATTTTGCCTCTTCCCACACAGAAACATGGCATTTGGAGGAGGAAGGAGCGGGCCCTGCTTTGAGACAGGGAATGTGGCACAGGGGAGGTCACTCCAGTCCCTTCTCACCCTACTGCCTTTGGGTTGTGCTGCTCTGAAGCAATAGAAAGCATTTACTTTCTTCTGAAGAAAAAAGTAACTGTGCAGGGACTTACACTGAGACAACTACATCACAATAACTGTCTCAGGATAATTGTAGCAATATCCCATCTGTTTCTATAAAACCTCCTTCTCCAGCCTGCTCCCACCACTCACAGAGGCCTCCAAGATGGYTCTGAGCTAAAGCCACAGAACCGTGTGAAACCTGGCAGGGTAAAGCTCCCCACTCCCAGCTAATCTGAAAATTATTTTGAGCAAATTTAAAGAGGATGGAGCATGTTTATCCTGGTCCAGCAGTACCAAACATGCTGCCACRGTGCTCCTGAGCTGGTGCCAGGAGGTCTGAAGTGTTGTCATATCATCAAGCCATTGCTGGGATGCTATGAAGAGGAGTAAAGCAAAGGTTGTGCTGATATAACTGTGCTGGTAAACACATCCTGCTCTACACTGGATGCAGACACTACTCTGAAGGGTGCAAGGGTGAAGCCTCTCTCCCCTTTTGCAGTGCAAAGGGGTCAGGAGAGATGATGATGGACATCTGATTTACAGGCTCATTCCCATGGCTGGGAGTGATGGGGTTGTTTATCTAAGGTCAAGAGGCTGGGTAAAAGCTATCAAATCCTATCACTACCTGTCCTGAGCTCTTATTCAACCACAGTTCYCTCTGTCCAGCACTGATGTCCTCTGTGACTGCATTGCTGCTGCAGCCTCGAGCCTCTGGCTCCCTTAGAGTGTTTCCTGTGTCTCTGCTGCAACATTTTCATTTGGCAATCAGGGCTTCATCACCACATCTAATCAAAACAAATCTCACTGTGATGCCTGATGCATCAACTGCAGCCACAAAAAGCACAAAAAGCTCTTTGTCCCTCCCAGGCAGCTCCACCACAGTGGTGAAGCAGAAAGCCATTTCATATCTTTTTGCCCCAAAATGAGGGCCTTTGGGGGAGTCTTTTACTTCAARGTGCTGGTGTGCCAGGGAGGGGTGKCTGGGTGGAGATGGGAGCCACTCAGATGTTAAAAGCTTGAGTAGCACCTTGAGGCATTGAGGGAAATGGCACTGGGGGACAAGTTAAGTAAACGTGGTGTAGAAATTGGGGTGGTGGAGCTGTTTGCCTTCCCTCTGAGCAGGGGCTGGTGCTCAGGCTGGCTGGGAGCAGCTGTGGCTGCCTCAAAGTAGATCCTTGCTCCAAGCAGATCCTTGCTCCAAGGATCTACACCCTACCTCCAGCACTGCTTTCAGTGGCCTTTGGTGCCTCTATGTACCTCTGTAAGATTCCAGTCCTTAAAAAATCCCCAGCAATCCTCCCAAGCATTCAAGTTCCATGATCCTCGATGTAAAATAATTACCCAGGATAATCAAGCGTTATCATAGCTATGTAATGAATTTTTGGCTTGTTGCTATTCACCATCACTGACTGTCCCCTTGGGTCTTTGCTGCTGCTCTGGAATAAATAAAATGCACCAAATGTGCCTTGTGCTGTTGGTATCTGATGCATCTGCTCCATGTTGTCACTTAAGAATATCCATGTACAGCTTTACAGCATATATATATACATATATATACATATCATGGATTGTGTTTGGGGCTTATCCTGTTCTCCTGACATGACCTATTGTCCTCGTTTTGCTCGGTCTGGTTATTTGGTGGTGGGGGGATGGGACCAAGAAACCACAAAAATGGCTCCTGTGACAAAGTTCTAGAAGCTTTCTCCTTCTTCTCCAACAAAAGGAGCCCTGCCCCTTGTGTTTTAGAGCCAATCCATTGTGGCTCTGAGGTTGGTGGACAGGCTGCTGGTCAGGCCTGGGCCAATTGCACATGCTAGTTACACCTCTGTGATGACGAATGGTCTTGTACTTCAGAAGAATTCAAAACAAGCTAGTTTGCAGCCGCCATTTAGTTTTTAGGTTGTTAGTGTCATGCACTGGGGGAGGACAGAGGAGAAGGGTGAGGAGATGTAAGAAAAAAAAGGAGACCCAAGATCACAGTGAGGAGAAAATAGGTMCTGTTGCTGTGGTTCTCGAACATGGAGAAAACAAGCTGTTCTTGAAATGACTATTTTTTCAATGAGAGACCTCTTCTGTATAGAAAATAGAGGCCCTGCACCCAAGATAAAAACCTGGCCTTTGAGGACTGAACGGATCATAAGCCAAAAAGGGGGAAGAGGCTTGGCTCCCCTCACGTCTGAAGTGAGTTGATGCTCAGAAGAAATTGTGTTCTGCGGAGGAAGAGGTGGTCCTCCCCCCCACACCTGAAGCGAGTTGATGCTTAGAACAAGCTGTGTTCTGCCAGGAGATTTGAGAGAGTGACCTTGGTCTGAGAAAAAGCAGCCGGCCATSTAGGACTGTTTTCCTTTCTCCCAGGAGGTAAAGAAAAAGAATCCCATGCCATCAGCAGTTATACACTGACTGTTTCTTGGGAAAAGAACTTCCACAGCTTGGAGCTGTAAGGACTCTTCTCCTATGATGCTGTACAATAACCGTAATGAGTASTTTGATCTATGTTAAAACTTTCATCCCCTGCCTCTCTTGCACATGGGATGGCATGGAGGGTGAGGAAAGGCGACCTGGGAGAGGTTCGCAGAAAGAATATCAGRTGTCTTAAAATGTCCGTTTTTATTTCTCCTCCCTGTAAATTTTTCCCTATCTCTGTTCCCCTCCCYGATGCAGTAGTTTTTTAGTAGYTTTTAGTAATACATCTATTTTGCAACTTAAGTTATTGAGCCTGTCTGGCCATTTTCTGGAGCATATAYGTATTTTTCTCTTAATTATGTTATCTTATCTAAAAGCCATAAATTTTAGTRTKAATTGGGCTTTTGCTCTCCCTTCTGSCTCTCCACTGGAGGGGGGAAGGAACRTYGYTGGGTGCTTTGGCTTTYGGCCAAGTTCAAACCACRACACCTATGGAGTGTTTTGGAGTTGTGCTCTAAGCGAGGATGGAAGGAAGTGGTTTATTCCCTGGGGTTGGCTGGGATTTGGTGGTGGGTGAGTGAAGCATTGCAATCCCTCCCTGGCAGAATTTTCCCAGCAGAGCCTTCTAGTTTGGCTTCAACAGAGCAGAGTCTCTGGCAGAGACTCCACTGCATCCAGTCCAAAGTATAGTTTAACTGCTGTAGCTGCTCCTCACACTGGGATGTGCCAGGACACGGGTTCCTATTGCAAAACCTCATCATCTTCCCTCGTCCACTACAATAAAATTTTTGAGTATYAGTGAGTTGCCACTGAGATCCCTGTTTCCCAGATGATGTTGCAGAATGGTTTTATTGACACCAGTATATAGTTAAACCACAAGAATTTTTCATAGGGAGGAGTGTTTTGTTTCCCAAACCTGCCTGGTACCATGTCTTTCCCTCAAGTCCCTGCCAAGACTCATTGCTGCATCTTTAACCCCTGCTCAGTTCCTTTATTAATACTTCTGCTTCGGTGGGAGAGATGCCAATGAGACTGAAGGGAAAAAGAGCTGCTGATGTTAATTTGACCTTTATGAATTTAAATTCCAGACTCACCCCAGGGGAGTCAGTGAGTGAATGAAGGAGCAGTGGCATGAGGAAAAGGCTCTTGGTCAAATTGTCACCCACTGTGAAAGGTGTTACCAAACCTGTCTGCTAGTGCCTGTGATGAATACATTCTCATCACTCACTGCTTCTCAGCCCCAGGACTTTGCTGTATCTGGAACAATTAGATTTGCCTTAATGCAAAGCTATGCTTCCTTTCCCCCTTGAAAAAACCCTTCAGTTAAATACCCCAATACATTTCTTCTTTTCTGCTCAGCTTTGGTGTAATTTTCCTTTGCTTTAGGTGAACTGGCCCTAGCAGAAAACATTTCTTTCCTGACAGGGAATTTTTTTCTGTGTTCCACTCTCTCTCCTGAGCACAGACATGGGATTGAGGATAAGAATTCATTGTGATAACAAGCTTAAAGGAGTGGATTGTGCAACCAGGACCACAGGACAATGTGAGCAACTGGGTGGCAACTCCTTGGGCTGATCCAGGCTTGAGCTTGCTCCGAGCTCGCTCTGCTCGAATGCTTTCTGCTGAGTGGCTTTGGAAAAGCCTCATTATTAATTAGAAAGAGGCTTTACCATCTGCTCAGATTCCCTCTTCCTTCCCCAGAGAAGCAGTGCTGCAGGTGCAGGGGATGCCTTGTCCCAGTGGATGAAATGATCTTGTCCCTCCCTGATGGACTYTGTGGCAGGGCGAGAAGCAGCTGCACACAGACCCCAGGGAGTTGAAATAATCAGCCAGAGAAATCCATGGTCTGAGTCAGTTCATGGGCTGGGAGCCCCTGGGGCAGCATCTACTCACGCTGGACAAGGGATACTGATTCTCCTTGCACTCCTTTTCAAGCCKAATCTGAGACTTTGTTGCCTTTCAGATGTTTGGGGGTGCAGCTGACCTGACTGCCTGAATGCACCACGTTGACCTCAAGTCCAGCCTGATATTCCTTCTTCACTGCTCCTGAGGGAGGCAGCTTTCTGACAGCATCCAGCTCTGCCCCTGTGTCCCAGTCCCAGCCAAAATCAGGTGCTGAGCAAGAGGAATTTTTGATGGGTACCTAAACTAGCAAGTTRGAGCAGCACACACACAGTGCAAAGAGCCTGAATCCCCAAGTGTACCACCGTGTGCTGGGCACTTGAAGGAAGGTGACAAGGGGGCAGGAAAGGAGAACTCTGTGAGGCTCAGTGCTCCATGTCCTGGGATGAGAATTTGCACCCCCTGAGGCTGCAGAGCATCACCCCAGTGTGCCTCCACCTCACTGCTGCTGCAGAGACCTTGCCAGCTCAGTGTACATGTCTAGAGAGTGCTGGCACCCGGTGGCATCACWGTCCAGCCACACATCCTCCCTAAAACTGAGAGATTGGGGACTGGTGACCCAGGAGAGGAGGAGAGCCCTTGCTGGGCTGCGTTTCAGAGGGATGCTACACATGAGGCTGTGCTTCTCTGTGCATCCAGCAGAGCCCTGCTGAGCTCTGCACTGGGGGACCACTGGGCTCATGTTATCAGCACGTGCCATTTCCCCAGACATTTCCCATGTTGTGAAGGCATTAACAAATTAAGTCTCAGGGCCCTGCTGCAATCCTCATTAGCATCATCCTAACAACTCTCCATGTTAAATAGCCTCTAAACAAAGTTTCCAGTTTAGTAAATATTCCTCCATAGGAATCATTGCCTCTATCAGGCAGGGCCTAAATGGACCCCAAGGACCAGAGCTGGCACTGCTGTCTGCTTCCCAAGCAGACATAAGACAAGGAGTTTCATATCTACCTCTTGTTCTAAGCCCCCTTCTCCAGCTGGAAGTGGCTCTCAATGTGCCAGCCCCATCCTAAATTAATGAGTTGCTCAGGAATTGCAGSCTGGATGTGTGGAGGCAAGGGACCATTTACAAATCTGAAGCGTCATGTTCTCCCCTCTTCCAGGGAGATGAACACAGAGGTGCACTAAATTCTGCTTGGAATCACACTGATAAATCCCCACTGAGCAAAGCCCAGTCCTTGCAGAAAGCAGCAGAAAGTGCTTGAGGATGGTGGTAATTCCAGGGCAATCCATCAGCAAACCACAGCAGAAATTCTCCCTTTCTGACCTCTCCCCAGGGCTTGAAAAGTTCCAGCAGCGGATGGAAAAGGCCATGAGCGGGGCATGAGTATTCTCTGGGACCTGCCTGCTGCCCTGGGGCAGGATTTATCACAGCTTAACACRGCCAAGGACAGGTCCTCACCAAGCAGAGTGATGAAACCTTCAGGGAGCAAAACACACGAGCGATGAGCAGGTCTCTTGTCTGACCAGACATCCACGCACTGTCATTCCACAGCCAACTTTGCTGTCCCCTGGCTTTATGCCTCCACCTCTGGGGCTTGGGATGCTTCTTGCAGGGCCGTGGTAACCTGGCTTTGACCAGGCACGGTATCAGCTGGTGCTGAGATGGGATTGGTTAAGAAGGAGCTGTTAATGCTGCTGTTAATGGGTGGTGGGCAGCCATCCTTCAGCTCTGGGTCCTGTGGCCATCTGTCAGTGCCCAGTCCTGTGGCCATCCATCATCCTCATGGAGAGTTCCTTGGTGCCCGCTCTGATCCTCATTCAGTCAAGGAAAACCAGCACTGTAGCAGCCCAGAAGGGGAGGTCTTTTCTCCTTGTCCTCGTGAGTTCCACTCCCTCTCACACTTCTCCCCCAAAACCTGTCACTGAACCAGACCTGTCACTGCTGAGGTGACATCCAAGTCACATCCTGAATGTAGGCTAAAAGCCAGTTTTGGCACAAGCCCTGACCTGATTTGATCAAACCCATGTACAGTGGTGAGAAGGAGTGGGCTGTCCATGACCCTGCTGCTCCCACCCACAGYGCTGAGCCAGCCTTGGCCATAGCCATGTCCCCAGAAGCTCTTTGTGACTGGTGGCCTCCCAAAGTGCTCAATGGCATCTGTGTAGGAGTGCTGGGGGATGGACATTGGCCGAGCCCTGAACCAAGGTGGACACACTGCACTGGTGACGTGGTCTTCACAAGAAGTAAAAACCTCCAGTTATCAGCCCTGGGCAKGGCAGGGGGATGGTAAAGGAAGGTGGACATAGGGGACAAAGGTCCTGGTGTCCCTGGGCAGAGAACAGGTAGCCAGCCCTGATGTCTCTTTGTCCACCTCCTCCTCTGCCCAACAGACATTTATTTTTCTCTATTTTCATCCCTTCTGAGATCTGCACCTTCTCTCTGTCTGCCTCCACTGCAACCCTGCAAGGAGGCTGCAGCTACAACAGCATAAGCACAGGGCTGTGATGCAGCCTCCACAGATCCCACCTCCCCAAAAAGGACTCATGGAGCAGCAGATGAGCCCAGAGACAGCTCTGACAGCCTCTCCCAAGGCCTGGATGCCCATGGAGTGGCTGGGTCCAGGGCACACTCACCAGTATGGTTGGTGATGGGCAGCAGGCTCTCACAGTACTGCTCCTGGATGGAGGCTGTCACCGGGCTGTCCCACASGAGGAGYGCCTGCAGCAGGAGAGAGCAGACAYGGGYRGGGTTACACGTGCAATGTGCTGCTTCCCTGCCCCACATCCCTCCTTGGGTCAGCTCTGAGCTTGCCCGTGTCTCGGTGGGTGCCACCCCCAAAGCTGCACTGTGGACACATGCCCGTTTTCAGGATGGTTTCCCAAGGAGACTGTGCTTATCCAAGCCCGAGGCTGGGGGACTGCTCTGTTTCCCACCCACTGATCTCTCCTTCCTTGAACACCCTCTCCACAAACCCTCCTGCAGCCCTTGCTGAATCGTGGGACCTCTGCTATTTAGCATTTTAATCAACAATTTTGGGTTTAGCATCTTTGAATCCTGAGAGCAGACAGRGGAAACATGATGAGGCTGACACCACGCTCAGATTTTCAATCCCTTATTGAAATMGCAGCTTTGTAAGCTGTCAGTGGGAAGATRTTCACACAYRTCCTTAAGGAGATCTGATCCATAGRCAACTGGATCTGGCTAMAGCCTTCTTTTCAGGAGAATTGTCAGCAAACACCAACATTCCCATTGAGTTGGAAAGCACTGACCAGGATTTACCCAGCTCTGCTAAAACACTGCATGAGGAGCTATTTTTGAAAAATGATTATTGAATTATCGTGCCTTTGCAGGAGTTTGGGGAAGCTAAAAGTGAGAAAGGCAATTGCCAGGATGAAGGGATTKCAAGGATGGAAGAGGGATGGTGCTGTTGGTCCCAGGGCTCATGGGGATGMCAGATGATGGAAGGAGGGGACCTGATATTTTGTAGGACACAGAGCAGCTGCCTAATCTTTTCTCCAGTTCAGAGAAGGGTGGCATAGGCTCATCCCCTCTGTTCCAGGGACCAGCATGAAGGRTGGATGAGGCTCAGCTCTGCTTCTTTGACCCTCAACAACTGACCAAACCCTTGCAGAAATGTCACTGACTAAATGGCAGAGCTGTGCCCCAAAATACACTACACACAGTCCCGTGGGAACCAGTGCTGAGCCTGAAGGCAGGAAGGGCTGCACCTCCCCTGCTTGCAGGCAGGCTCCCAGCTCCTCAGGGACAGCCACCTCTGGCCTTACCAGTCAGCAGGGCTGATTTTACTGCCTGACCCCTCTTCCTGAGTGCCATTTACCACCCAAACTGCTCTGAGCACAAAGCTCTTCCTCTTGCCCTTGAGATGTAGAAACTCTGCTCTTGCTGGCACACCTAGCCATCCCCACGCCTTACCAAGGCATTAGCACAATTTATTCAGACACAGAGACAAGCTCAGCACCCACTTGCTCTTTTCCAAGCAACTCTTTACTAGCTTGGGAAGCTGGTATTGACAGCAAGAGAGATGTCAGGCAGACGTATAAATGGAGCTGAGAATAGCTCCCTTGTTTTGACTGCTCCAGATGGCACAGGGGATCCGGCAGCTCCGCCCTGCCCTGGCGCAGGCGCTGCTCAGAGCTCCTGGGTGCTGGTCCTGCAGGARCCCAGCACCTCCTGAGGCTCCTTTCAGACAGCTGACACCATCCAAACTCCAGGCAGGGAGGAATCAAATTGCAGGGGGTTTGCTCCCCTCTGTGCTGATGCCCACAGCTGGTGCCCACCAGACCTGGTGGCTCTTGGCATGGGCAGTGGGGACAGAAGGGTTCTGCCCAAAAGGGGCTGGGATGGTTTGTCTATACCTGAACAGGCTTTCAAGTGTTAATTGGATGTGTTTCTCCCAATTCTAGCCTGCTGCAGCCTGGCAGTGCCCATTCTCCTTCCAGAGAGAGGTCTTGGCACTGAGCAGCACACGGATCAAGCTGCAGCCAGARTGGGGTGTGGATGGAGCAGTCACTGCCTCTTTGCAGGCTTTGCAAATGAGCTGAACAGCCAKAGAAGGAAGAGAGAAAGGGGAAAAAAGGCATCCCCTAAACACAACTAATGCTAAGAGCTTTTTTTACCAGGAGTCTTTTCTCACTGCAGTGTGGCCAAAGCTCTTGACAGAGGTTTTGTCCCACTCCTGTCAGCCTTTCGAGGGGAATAAGCAGGGGGAGGTGGCAGCTGCAGGGGATTTGCCCCAGGCAAAAACACCCTGATCTGGCACTTGCAGGTSGCTGTCTCGTCTGTTTTGCTCATTGTGGATTACTGCAACCCCTCCCCACGTTTTTAGCAGAGAGAACAGGTCAGAGTGCCATCCTTGAAGCGCTTCTCGTGCCAGAGCATCGCTGCCGTAAGATGCCACATGGTGCCCAGCAGGGCCTGGGCTGGCTGCCCTGGAGCCAAGCTCACCTCAAGAGCCCCGACACGGCAGTGGGTCGAGCCTGGGCCAGAGAGGGGCCGTGTTCCTCCGTCCTCACACAGGATATGGCAGATACCGCTCTGCAGGCAGGAACACCTCCATGACCCTGTCAGCCTGCCAAAGCCCGCAGAGCCTCAGCTGAGCACTCAGCTGCCCGGGAAGGAAGGCAATCTGCTCGGCACAGCGCTCCCAGTCAGTGTCCCACAGGGATGGTGGTAATTCTGCTGGGAGCAGCCTGGACCCGGCAGTGCCYGCACTGCCAGCAGCTCCTTCTCCACCAGGAGCCACCAATGGCTCCCTGCTGCTGCCTCAGCATTTGCCCAGCTCCAGGGGTCTGAAACATCCCTGCTTTATACACAGGGGTCATGCTGACTTAACCTTGGACCTCGCAGAGCACCAGCCCCTTCCTTTCATCCCCACATTTTTGTAGCAGGACCAGACCCACAGTTCTCACTGCATGGCTCAGGCACCAAAACCTGACACTGCTCCTGTGTTTCCTGCATACACCCGTTGCGCTGGGTCTCCCACCACTCACCATGCCAGATCTGTCCTAGAAGGGAAACTGAGGCACTGAGGATCACCCAGCTCAGGTCACTCTGGCCGTGGGGCACCATGTGAGGCAGATCCCTCCGATCTGGACAAACCAACAAGTGTCCTGGTTTGGAGCCACCAGGGCTCCAAAATTCACTGGGGTTTKTGGGAGCTGTCCAGGTGCCTGTGAGGGGACAGAGCAGCAGGKCCCCTGAGCCAGGGGATGCAGCACGATGGGCTGGGGCAGTGTCAGCTCTGTGCCAACACCAGGGGCTTGGCTGCTGCTGTGGGGATGAGCAGCACAATCACATACATGTGGTGCCAGTCTCTGTGACCTGCCACTGACCTGGCAGGAAAATTCAATTAATAACAATTAGGAATTAACGTCCTCTTGTGGTGCTTTCGCTGTCCAAAGCAACCCACGGATATTAATTAATGCATTCACATCCGACTGCAACATCTCCCTGCACTGTGCTACCCAGAGACATGCMTGTCTCCCCCTGATATCTTACTGCCTCCAACAAGAGGGGATCTGCATGGCAGGAAAGGCTGACAGCTCTGAGCACGAGATGGATGGCTCCGAGCCTAATTAGCAATCTAGGAGGTCCAGTGCTGAGGGGCTTTAATTGGGAGCAGAGTGCTTAGTGGGATGAAGCCGTGGGAGATGGGCTTTGCACAGAGCTGCAGAGGGCAGGGGGAGCAGTGGACAGCGATGGCCACCGAGACCTTCCTGGGAGTGGGGACAACACTGGCCACCCTGGAGCTGTCCTTGCTGTCGGGATCTCTCTGACCCATCAGTTCTGCCCCCTGGCTTGGCTGGGCTTGCTGCCCACTACAGGACTTGCTGTGGGAGAGGACAGCCCTCCTGAGTGGCACGGGCAGCGAAAGGCTGAGCAGCTGATGCCCCGGACCTTTGCTGAGGATCCCTGGGGCATTAGGCTGGGATGGAGCCTGGTCTTGGCTCTGAGCCTGCGGGAAAAGGTGCCAGACTTTGGGTGTTAAATACAGAGAGTGTTAAAGGAGCTGGATGCCARCCTCGGGTGGCAGAGCAGCTCCAGTGGCGTGGGAAGGGAGCAGCACATCCTGCCAGGACCACTGGAGGTGGCCTGCAACAGCCTGACCAAAGGAGCTGCCCCTCAATGTGCTTGGAGGTGCCTCCAGACCCTCCTCACTGCAGGGATCTCTCTGCCTCATCTCCTCTGAGTTCCTGGCACTGTTTTCTGCAGCTGGGGAGCTTCTTACCTGCTCCACCTGAGGGCTTTCACTTGCAACAGTTCCACGCTCAATTCAAGCCACAAATGAAACCTCCAGGCAGCATCTGGCCTCTGAAGGATCCTCTTTTTAGCCATGTCTTAGCCCTGGCAGTGACCTGCTTTGCTGCCCAYGATCTCAGGGTTCCTCCAAGCCCCTCTGCTGCCCCACCAAGCCCCTGCTGCTCCCTCATTGTTTCTCCAAAGCCCTGTCCCAAGCCCTGCCAGCATCAAGGCATCAAGGCAAAGCTCAGGCAATGGAACAAGGCTCAAAGCAAGAGCCATGGGGGGATTTTCCATGGCTAATGTTACTCAAGGGGAGAGCAGGCATTGAGGATAGCTCCATCTGGCATTAAAATCTGTGAGTATATTAATTTATCCATATTAGAGGGCCAGTCCTTGTGGTGTGTAGACAGCAGCTTTGGTAAGAGTGTTTATTCTGTTTGGAGTCTGTCTCTGAGTGTGCTGGATGCAGATCCTAACAAAAGAATATCAATCAGGGCTAAATGAATGCCTTGTAAAACCTGATTTATGAGCAATTAAAGGCTTTTCTGGATTAAGCTCTGGTSTCCCTTGCTTGCCATAAATAATTCCGACTTCATTTATCTGTCAAGAGAGACATGGATTTTTGGGGACAGGTGAAAAAATGATAATGGCATTTGAATTGGAAGCTAAAGGCACAAACAAGCTGGGGAAGGGGACAAAATCCATGTAGCTCCTATCAGATCTGGATTTGCCAGGGCAAAGAACTCCTATGGGATCTGGATTTGCCAGGGCAAAGGCTGATAAGGAAGATTGGAGTGATGGGCGCAAGTCTGGGGGAGGGCTGTTTTTCCAAGGCAATTGTATTAAACTTTCCTACAGATTGTACATGTGTAACTCCTGTGCATTGACAGGATTTTTCAATTTGGGATTGGACATTTTTCTTCCCAGCTCCATCTCAAAACCCACATCTCATCTGCTCCAAAACCCCTCCTTCACCCAGCACCTTTTTAGAGTTGCGTCCTGGGATGAACATCCACAATTTAATTTCTCTGTAATTTTTTTCCAGTTTATTCACATTCAGAGCTCAGGAAAGCTTGGYCACACCAAAGCTGCACCTGCCACTACCCTTCCAGGGCAGATAGTGCAGATTTCAGGGTGGAAGAGGGAATGTGATCTGCAAAATGCCGACCCCCTTTGCCCTTGACCATTGGAATGGACGCAACTGCACCCGGAAGGATGACTGTGGATAAAGCAGGATGCCCTGCAGAGAAGGAGGGTCTCTTTCTATCAGTTCAGAATACAGTTAGGGATAAAAGGAAAAACAACAGATGGACCCTGAAACGTTATTCCACCTTCAGAAAGAGCCCCCTCTCCWGAGAGACAGCTCTGAGGTGTTGGACAACAGCTCTGGGCTCTGCTTGGTGAGGGAACCCCATGGTTTGGGGGKTGATTTGTGCTTTCTTTGGGTTCAAAAATTGTTCTCACAGACAAAGCCATGGATGCAGCCTCTCTGAATGCTGTGGACTCAATGTCAGCTTGGGCTTGTCACTGACAACAAACCTCTGGGTCAGCCCTGGTCAGGATTTTGGGTGAGCAGAGCTGGATTTCAGGGCAGGGTTGAACTGGTGGTGCAGGATATTCTCATCGTATTCCTATATATGCATCCTATGGTGACAGAGCAGCTATTCTGGGAACAGGCTGTGCCTTTTCCATTCACTTCTTCACTGAGATGAGAAACCACAGGGATGATTTCATACACACTGAATCAACTCCAGCTTTTAAGGAAAGCGAGGAGTGGAAGAGATCCCCAGAGTCAGCATGTCCTGCAACTGCAGCTCTGCATCTTATGCTAGGATTGGAGCAGGGAAAGGGCAGAGGCTGTTTTGGGGCTTATTCCTGCTGGAGGTGGTCAAGTGAGAGGGGAAACTATTTCACCCCCAGCATCAATCTGTGATTTTTCCTAAAATGCTTTTGAAGTTTTTTCAGCCTCAGAAACATCATTGGCTCCTGACAGAGCTCCAGGTGAACTGGTTTGTTTGAATCACCTTTTTAGTTTGTTTAAATGACTTGCAAGGTGGCAGGGAGCATTTGGCAGCAAGTTTGGCTGCCTGTCTCTYTGTCTGTCTGTCTGACCCCCTGAGGGATGTCTATCCAGTAAAGAAACATGGACAAACTGATGCTGAAGTGGAGGTGCTGGCCAGGTGGGTGAGGAGCACCTAAAGTGTGTCAAGCTAGCATCTGCAGGGGAGGTTTGTCCTGCTGTGCTCTGCATGGAGCCAGGCTGCTGCAGGCTCTGCACTCACAGACTGGCTGCTGCTGCAGGTACACCTGGCTGCAGGGATGCACTCACAGCTGGACTTTCACAGTCCTTCAGCTCATGCTGTCCCYAGGAGAGGGTTGGGATTGTTCTGGAAAGCGCCCTGAGTTTTGAATGCATGTATTTATACGGAAAAATAGACAGCTTGACTGCAAAGTGGGGGAGGGTTGTAGATTGGGTGTTTCRTTTTGGAGCCAGCTGGGAGAGGCTTCTCTCTGCTTGGGCTGGTTTTTGTGCCCCCTCCTGATCCCAGTCCCAACACAGGGGTGGTTTTGTCTCAAATGCTGGAAGATTTTTGAGGACTTGGTGCTGCAACTTGACAAGGAAAACATCTTTGAGGAACACCTGGACATGGCGAGGGAATCCCCTGAGCCTAAGAAGCTTTGACAGAGATGGGAGCTCTGTCCCAGCAACTTTGAGCTTCTTTTGCTCATACAGAGATTATCAGGAGCTGTCATTCTCACTTGGCTGTGCCCACCAGAACCTGACCCTACTGCACTGGGTCTGTGCTTTCTCCCAGACTGGCCAAGGAGGACCTGGGCTGGGGGAAGATATCCTGCCCTGGCTCACCTTTATTTCTTACATCAGAGCCAAACCAAACCAAACCAAACCAAACCAAACCAAACCAAACCAAACCAAACCAAACCAAACCAAACCAGGGAATATAACAGCAAAAGGGCTCCTATAGATCCTGTCAATTGGCTTAGGGGGTTACAGCCACAGGAAAGAGCAGCTGCTCAGAGGAGCTTTTAGA